TATTTCTGTGGTACAGCTAACTTGTTATTGGAGGCAAAATGTCCACCCACCTTCAGAGGTCAGTTAATGACAAAGGCATTCAAGGGTTTTCTTTGTGGTAGAGTGGCCGAGTGGTCTAAGGCGCTGGATTAAGGTTCCAGTCTCTAAGGAGGCGTGGGTTCAAATCCCACCTCTGCCATAAACACAACTATGGAAGCATAGATTTCAGTGCACGTGGTACAGTCAATCGATTGAAACACACAGCAATATGTTCAGCAGTGCTTCGATGAGTACACCTTTATTCTTGAGATGTTGCATTCTATTTCAACTTTTGGAGACGCTTCAACTGTAGTCAACCTTTAAACCTTCTGTCAGTACTGGCACAGTTTTAAAGGTTGCAGATAGGACCATTTGAGAAAGGAGAATTGCCAAGCAGAGTGGCGCAGCGGAAGCGTGCTGGGCCCATAACCCAGAGGTCGATGGATCGAAACCATCCTCTGCTAACAATCCAAAGGACTTCTAGAGCAATTCCAGTTCTTTAATGAATCTCCTTAAAATTTAATGCAACCCAAACTGCAGAATCCTGCCTCAGATAAAAACACAATTGCAACTGGACCAGTTTAAAAAAGAAGCTAACGATCTTAGAGAAACTAAAGCCCCCTTCAGACAGGCTTTGAAAAACATAAATTTTCAGGACTCTATCTGAAAGACCTTTGTGTCTGAATACAAACATCCGATAATGTTTTCCGTAATTAAACCGGACAACGCCCCTAGTAACAGGTCTGGACTGGTCACGAACAAGGTGGCTGCTTCAGACTGGTGAGGTCGAGTTCCGGACAGGGAGGAGGAGGAGGGGACCGGGGGACACTGTGCACACCTAAGATAGCTTGCTCCTGTAGCATGCGGCGAACCATGGCAGCTCGCCTCCTATGGTACCGTCTAGACGCGCGACGGAGCACTTCACACCGCTTCCGTGATTCCTTTAACCATTGAGCTTCATCACCCAGGTCTCTCATGAGTCTATGTTTGCACAGACTTATGCTTAACATAAGTTCGATCAGTGAGAAGAATTCTATCTCTTCGTCTGCCATGTTTGACTGAATGGCTTTGTTCGGGTAAAATGACGCATGTACACCCGCCACACAATGTTTACGCAATATCTGAATACAGCCCCCCCCCCCCCCCCCCCCCCCTCAAACATCTCGAACCTTTCCCTGCTGTGTGAAGGCAGCCGAAAGGACAATTTCCAGTACAAAAGTGGTGTGTCTGAAAACACAGTTCTGGTTAAAAATCGGACTGAATTGTCCACACATATTCCAGAATGGCAATCTGAAAAGGGTTTATGTGAGTCAAGATGCATTACCATTAAATCTCACTACAATTACCTGACTTGATGTTTGCAGAGTATTTATCAATTTAAATGACATGTTAACACGTGACAAGTATTTCTGTGGTACAGCTAACTTGTTATTGGAGGCAAAATGTCCACCCACCTTCAGAGGTCAGTTAATGACAAAGGCATTCAAGCGTTTTCTTTGTGGTAGAGTGGCCGAGTGGTCTAAGGCGCTGGATTAAGGTTCCAGTCTCTAAGGAGGCGTGGGTTCAAATCCCACCTCTGCCATAAACACAACTATGGAAGCATAGATTTCAGTGCACGTGGTACAGTCAATCGATTGAAACACACAGCAATATGTTCAGCAGTGCTTCGATGAGTACACCTTTATTCTTGAGATGTTGCATTCTATTTCAACTTTTGGAGACGCTTCAACTGTAGTCAACCTTTAAACCTTCTGTCAGTACTGGCACAGTTTTAAAGGTTGCAGATAGGACCATTTGAGAAAGGAGAATTGCCAAGCAGAGTGGCGCAGCGGAAGCGTGCTGGGCCCATAACCCAGAGGTCGATGGATCGAAACCATCCTCTGCTAACAAACCAAAGGACTTCTAGAGCAATACCAGTTCTTTAATGAATCTCCTTAAAATTTAATGCAACCCAAACTGCAGAATCCTGCCTCAGATAAAAACACAATTGCAACTGGACCAGATTAAAAAAGAAGCTAACGATCTTAGAGAAACTAAAGACCCCTTCAGACAGGCTTTGAAAAACGGAAATTTTCAGGACTCTATCTGTAAGACCTTTGTGTCTGAATACAAACATCCGATAATGTTTTCCGTAATTAAACCGGACAACCCCCCTAGTAACAGGTCTGGACTGGTCACGAACAAGGTGGCTGCTTCAGACTGGTGCGGTCGAGTTCCGGACAGGGAGGAGGAGGAGGGGACCGGGGGACACTGTGCACACCTAAGATATCTTGCTCCTTTAGCATGCGGGGAACCATGGCAGCTCGCCTCCTATGGTACCGTTTAGACGCGCGACGGAGCACTTCACACCGCTTCCGTGATTCCTTTAACCATTGAGCTTCATCACCCAGGTCTCTCATGAGTCTATGTTTGCACAGACTTATGCTTAACATAAGTTCGATCAGTGAGAAGAATTCTATCTCTTCGTCTGCCATGTTTGACTGAATGGCTTTGTTTGGGTAAAATGACGCATGTACACCCGCCACACAATGTTTACGCAATATCTGAATACAGCCCCCCCCTCAAACATCTCGAACCTTTCCCTGCTGTGTGAAGGCAGCCGAAAGGACAATTTCCAGTACAAAAGTGGTGTGTCTGAAAACACAGTTCTGGTTAAAAACCGGACTGAATTGTCCACACATATTCCAGAATGGCAATCTGAAAAGGGTTTATGTGAGTCAAGATGCATTACCATTAAATCTCACTACAATTACCTGACTTGATGTTTGCAGAGTATTTATCAATTTAAATGACATGTTAACACGTGACAAGTATTTCTGTGGTACAGCTAACTTGTTATTGGAGGCAAAATGTCCACCCACCTTCAGAGGTCAGTTAATGACAAAGGCATTCAAGGGTTTTCTTTGTGGTAGAGTGGCCGAGTGGTCTAAGGCGCTGGATTAAGGTTCCAGTCTCTAAGGAGGCGTGGGTTCAAATCCCACCTCTGCCATAAACACAACTATGGAAGCATAGATTTCAGTGCACGTGGTACAGTCAATCGATTGAAACACACAGCAATATGTTCAGCAGTGCTTCGATGAGTACACCTTTATTCTTGAGATGTTGCATTCTATTTCAACTTTTGGAGATGCTTCAACTGTAGTCAACCTTTAAACCTTCTTTCAGTACTGGCACAGTTTTAAAGGTTGCAGATAGGACCATTTGAGAAAGGAGAATTGCCAAGCAGAGTGGTGCAGCGGAAGCGTGCTGGGCCCATAACCCAGAGGTCGATGGATCGAAACCATCCTCTGCTAACAAACCAAAGGACTTCTAGAGCAATTCCAGTTCTTTAATGAATCTCCTTAAAATTTAATGCAACCCAAACTGCAGAATCCTGCCTCAGATAAAAACACAATTGCAACTGGACCAGTTTAAAAAAGAAGCTAACGATCTTAGAGAAACTAAAGACCCCTTCAGACAGGCTTTGAAAAACGGAAATTTTCAGGACTCTATCTGTAAGACCTTTGTGTCTGAATACAAACATCCGATAATGTTTTCCGTAATTAAACCGGACAACCCCCCTAGTAACAGGTCTGGACTGGTCACGAACAAGGTGGCTGCTTCAGACTGGTGAGGTCGAGTTCTGGACAGGGAGGAGGAGGAGGGGACCGGGGGACACTGTGCACACCTAAGATAGCTTGCTCCTGTAGCATGCGGGGAACCATGGCAGCTCGCCTCCTATGGTACCGTTTAGACGCGCGACGGAGCACTTCACACCGCTTCCGTGATTCCTTTAACCATTGAGCTTCATCATCCAGGTCTCTCATGAGTCTATGTTTGCACAGACTTATGCTTAACATAAGTTCGATCAGTGAGAATAATTCTATCTCTTCGTCTGCCATGTTTGACTGAATGGCTTTGTTTGGGTAAAATGACGCATGTACACCCGCCACACAATGTTTACGCAATATCTGAATACAGCCCCCCCCCTCAAACATCTCGAACCTTACCCTGCTGTGTGAAGGCAGCCGAAAGGACAATTTCCAGTACAAAAGTGGTGTGTCTGAAAACACAGTTCTGGTTAAAAACCGGACTGAATTGTCCACACATATTCCAGAATGGCAATCTGAAAAGGGTTTATGTGAGTCAAGATGCATTACCATTAAATCTCACTACAATTACCTGACTTGATGTTTGCAGAGTATTTATCAATTTAAATGACATGTTAACACGTGACAAGTATTTCTGTGGTACAGCTAACTTGTTATTGGAGGCAAAATGTCCACCCACCTTCAGAGGTCAGTTAATGACAAAGGCATTCAAGGGTTTTCTTTGTGGTAGAGTGGCCGAGTGGTGTAAGGGAGTAGCCCCTGGCTGCATCCCGGAGATCGGGGCGGGGCTAAATGTGGGCGGGGTTAAACGTTTAGAGGTGGGTGGAGACAACTATTTGACTCCTGCCCCTCTCTCAATGGAACCAGGAAACTGCGAGTAGCCCGTTTCTAAGGATTAGAAAGCCCTAAAAACCCACAAAACCCATGTAAAGCATAACATTGGTAATCAAATGACTTTTTTGCTGGATGTCATTATAATTTTAAAGAGCAGATAATTACAGGCGCCATTTTTGATCCAATCTGTTCTGATATTTTTATTCTTTTTTCTACTTTTGTATGGTATGTGTATTTATAGCACATAGCCAGGTATTTGTGTCTTTTAGCTATACTTTTGGTACCTCTATAAAAGGTTCAAGCATTTAATAGACTATTCTTTGAACCTGTCAAAACCATTTTAATAGTTGATTTTATCAATGCTGCCTGTATTTTAATAGTCATTTCCCAAGTGAGAGTAAAACAGTACAGACAGACACGGGTAAATTTGTTGTACACTCAGTTATATCAGCTACATTAAGAGGAACAGAGACTTAAATTGTGCTGATACTTCTTAAAACATGCCAGGGTTTGAGGCGGGGTGGTGAGACATTGTGTGAGACACCCAAGAATGCAGACTAAATTTTTCAAAAAAGGTAAATTTAATAGAGCAAACAACAGCCAACACAGGAATAAAAAAAAGTACAAACAAATGAACCAAAAAGCACACAAAAAACAAGAGAACCTCCAAAAAAACAATGTGAGGAGGAAAAAGAATGCAAAAACTGTGACACCGCTGTACTATGGCATTTCAAAACCAGAAAACACCTTCATCTTCCTTTTTTCCTCAATTTCTCTGCAGAACTCCTCATAGTCTGACTGAAAACTAAACATGAACAGGAACGGTTCCCTGCAATCGTTCATCTCCTCTTCATCCAGGCCATCACAGAAGCATGACCTCTCCACTGCCCTCCGGCAAGCTTCCCTGTCCATGGTGATGACCTGGGGAAGGGAAAGGCTTCCTTTGAAGGACCTTGTGGTACACCACCTTGCTGCCTCAAAGGTGTCCTCAAGCAGAGAATTCTCCTAATCAAAAATAAAGACAATATCAAAATTACTGCTGTCAAGAGATTAAAAACATATTTTACATTAATTATGTATGATCTGAAAGTAATCTAATCTTTCAATTTAATCTAATAACTGTACATAATATAAGCCTTATTTTCAATGCTAACAGCTAGCCAAACAGCTGATGCTGTGGTCTTTCCAAACTGCAGCACGGAGGTGCGTCTGATACAGGAGAGAAGCTGTCAGCAGCCTTGATGCTCAGTGACACACCCATTACATCCAAATGGTAACAATAACTTTGGAAAAAGTTGCAAGAAGGGTGAAAAAAACAGAGTAAAGATAACAAGGTCGCTGAAATAAACACTGCTGCAGCTAATCTCTCACTGGTCTTGTCACTGTAACGTCAACCCTTCAACTTATGAGTTTACATGAACCCTTCAAGAACAGGAAAAGAAATTGGTTTATTTAAAAGTCCCATAAAGAAGCAGTAGATTAAAAATGATAAACATAATAAAAATATACAACACGTTAATCATGGCTGTAAAAAATTAATTGCAAGTAATGGAATTATTTGACACCTCTAATTAAAATGGAGGTTGGAGAAGAAACAATGACACAAGAAAAGTCCAGTTCCAGCAAGTTCTCAGCCTCTGCTAGAAGGGAAAAAGATTGTGGTTCATAAAAAGCATATTAACGATGCAAGTTGTAAAAAAGATCAGTTGCTTAGTATTCTGATTTAATGAAAATAGAGAAATGACTGAAAAACTTGCTTTGAAAAAAAAAGTGCTCTGTCTGGAACGGTCTTAATTTTCTAATCTTGGCAAAGTAAGAATTTCATTGTGCAGAAAGTGTGTTTTTCTAGCTGTGCATATGACAAAAGGTTGAATCTTGAATCTTCCCACATCCCATTTCGACAACCTAGGGGGTTGTGTACAATAATACTTGTTTGAACAATACCTGATGCTGCACAGACTCATTCAGTATGGCAGGACTTCTTAGGAGGGACCACTTCCAGGTCCTGAAATAAATGAAGGAATTATGCTTTAGTCTGCAAGCAACAGTTAAACTACAAGAATTAATCAAATTGTCTCTCACCTGTTTTACTCTTTCCTCTCTCCGTCTTTTCCGTGCCTGCACTCTGTCTTCCTCAGACCTTGGTGATACAATGACAACATTAATTCACTATGAAAACATTCATGTTATTCTGTTGACACTTGAATGAGCAAAACGTTTATATAATTACACACATCAGATTAGCACTCTAACCATAATAATAAAGCCCATCAGGTGTAGAACTCAGATACGAACATAAAAAGCTTAAAAAACTAACATATTTCCCCCTGTAAAATATATTTCCACCAAAAAGTAATCATGACCACACAACATATCTCCCCAAATCTATAAAAGTGTTCCTACAGGTTTCTTCAACTTAAATTTAAGTCTAAGATCTTTCTAAAGCCATATGGAAAATTAATACCTATTTCACGGCACTATCAGCAAAAAAGTAAATAAATAAAATAAAATTATTGAACTAATTTCATTTATTTATCTATACAACTTTACCAATATATTTTGACAAAACACTGGGTGGGCACTTGGTAGAAGATCGGTTATATTTTTAAACAAATGGTTAAAAATATAACCGATCTGGTTGGACATTAGAACCTTAATAATTTTTGTTGCCTATATTTTAGTTTAATTTTAAGACATTTTTTTTTATTATTGCTAATTTTATTACCCTAATTTCTTGCAGTATTTCTATTGTATAAAAGCAACAGTGCAAACAGTAAAGACACAAAATTGAAATAAATGTCTAAAAATAGCTTCTCTTGGTGTCATCACTTGTTTGGAATATTTTGATGAACTTCAGAAGAAAAATGCAGTACAGAAAACTTACATCCAACACAAATTTTAAGACCCAGATGCCAAAATTGAAGGGTTTCTCCAGTCTTTTAAAGGTATTACTTCCAAATTCATAAATTCAATGCTTTTAAGACTCCGTGGGAACCCTGTAAACATTTCTCCTCAAAAGTAAGTCGCCCCGCATGTGTAAAATAGGCTATATGTATCATCTAAAACTCATAATGGGAAAAAAACTTTAATTTCCAAGTTTATAAAACGTTCGCCCAACATTGGTCCTCGATATTGTTAAAACAGAGAAAGAAAAATCCTAGCTTACCTCCATTTTGGCAGCTACTTCCCTCTGTCCCGGCTACAGCATTGCACACACACATAGCATAGCGGTTTCCTGGTTCCATTGAGAGGGGCAGGACGCAGGAGTCAAATAGTTGTCTCCGCCCACCTCTAAACGTTTGACCCCGCCCACATTTAGCCCCGCCCCGATCTCCGGGATGCAGTCAGGGGTAGTTGGTCTAAGGCGCTGGATTAAGGTTCCAGTCTCTAAGGAGGCGTGGGTTCAAATCCCACCTCTGCCATAAACACAACTATGGAAGCATAGATTTCAGTGCACGTGGTACAGTCAATCGATTGAAACACACAGCAATATGTTCAGCAGTGCTTCGATGAGTACGCCTTTGTTCTTGAGATGTTGTATTCTATTTCAACTTTTGGAGACGCTTCAACTGTAGTCAACCTTTAAACCTTCTGTCAGTACTGGCACATTTTTAAAGGTTGCAGATAGGACCATTTGAGAAAACAGAATTGCCAAGCAGAGTGGCGCAGCGGTAGCGTGCTGGGCCCATAACCCAGAGGTCGATGGATCGAAACCATCCTCTGCTAACAAACCACAGGACTTCTAGAGCAATTCCAGTTCTTTAATGAATCTCCTTAAAATTTAATGCAACCCAAACTGCAGAATCCTGCCTCAGATAAAAACACAATTGCAACTGGACCAGTTTAAAAAAGAAGCTAACAATCTTAGAGAAACTAAAGCCCCCTTCAGACAGGCTTTGAAAAACGGAAATTTTCAGGACTCTATCTGTAAGACCTTTGTGTCTGAATACAAACATCCGATAATGTTTTCTGTAATTAAACCAGACAACGCCCCTAGTAACAGGTCTGGACTGGTCACGAACAAGGTGGCTGCTTCAGACTGGTGAGGTCGAGTTCCGGACAGGGAGGAGGAGGAGGGGACCGGGGGACACTGTGCACACCTAAGATAGCTTGCTCCTGTAGCATGCGGCGAACCATGGCAGCTCGCCTCCTATGGTACCGTCTAGACGCGCGACGGAGCACTTCACACCGCTTCCGTGATTCCTTTAACCATTGAGCTTCATCACCCAGGTCTCTCATGAGTCTATGTTTGCACAGACTTATGCGTAACATAAGTTCGATCAGTGAGAATAATTCTATCTCTTCGTCTGCCATGTTTGACTGAATGGCTTTGTTTGGGTAAAATGACGCATGTACACCCGCCACACAATGTTTACGCAATATCTGAATACAGCCCCCCCCCCCCTCAAACATCTCGAACCTTTCCCTGCTGTGTGAAGGCAGCCGAAAGGACAATTTCCCGTACAAAAGTGGTGTGTCTGAAAACACAGTTCTGGTTAAAAACCGGACTGAATTGTCCACACATATTCCAGAATGCCAATCTGAAAAGGGTTTATGTGAGTCAAGATGCATTACCATTAAATCTCACTACAATTACCTGACTTGATGTTTGCAGAGTATTTATCAATTTAAATGACATGTTAACACGTGACAAGTATTTCTGTGGTACAGCTAACTTGTTATTGGAGGCAAAATGTCCACCCACCTTCAGAGGTCAGTTAATGACAAAGGCATTCAAGGGTTTTCTTTGTGGTAGAGTGGCCGAGTGGTCTAAGGCGCTGGATTAAGGTTCCAGTCTCTAAGGAGGCGTGGGTTTAAATCCCACCTCTGCCATAAACACAACTATGGAAGCATAGTTTTCAGTGCACGTGGTACAGTCAATCGATTGAAACACACAACAATATGTTCAGCAGTGCTTCGATGAGTACGCCGTTGTTCTTGAGATGTTGTATTCTATTTCAACTTTTGGAGACGCTTCAACTGTAGTCAACCTTAAAACCTTCTGTCAGTACTGGCACATTTTTAAAGGTTGCAGATAGGACCATTTGAGAAAATAGAATTGACAAGCAGAGTGGCGCAGCGGTAGCGTGCTGGGCCCATAACCCAGAGGTCGATGGATCGAAACCATCCTCTGCTAACAAACCAAAGGACTTCTAGAGCAATACCAGTTCTTTAATGAATCTCCTTAAAATTTAATGCAACCCAAACTGCAGAATCCTGCCTCAGATAAAAACACAATTGCAACTGGACCAGTTTAAAAAAGAAGCTAACGATCTTAGAGAAACTAAAGACCCCTTCAGACAGGCTTTGAAAAACGTAAATTTTCAGGACTCTATCTGTAAGACCTTTGTGTCTGAATACAAACATCCGATAATGTTTTCCGTAATTAAACCGGACAACCCCCCTAGTAACAGGTCTGGACTGGTCACGAACAAGGTGGCTGCTTCAGACTGGTGAGGTCGAGTTCCGGACAGGGAGGAGGAGGAGGGGACCGGGGGACACTGTGCACACCTAAGATATCTTGCTCCTGTAGCATGCGGGGAACCATGGCAGCTCGCCTCCTATGGTACCGTCTAGAATCGTGACGGAGCACTTCACACCGCTTCCGTGATTCCTTTAACCATTGAGCTTCATCATCCAGGTCTCTCATGAGTCTATGTTTGCGCAGACTAATGCTTAACATAAGTCCGATCAGTGAGAAGAATTCTATCTCTTCGTCTGCCATGTTTGACTGAATGGCTTTGTTTGGGTAAAATGACGCATGTACACCCGCCACACAATGTTTACGCAATATCTGAATACAGCCCCCCCCTCAAACATCTCGAACCTTTCCCTGCTGTATGAAGGCAGCCGAAAGGACAATTTCCAGTACAAAAGTGGTGTGTCTGAAAACACAGTTCTGGTTAAAAACCGGACTGAATTGTCCACACATATTCCAGAATGGCAATCTGAAAAGGGTTTATGTGAGTCAAGATGCATTACCATTAAATCTCACTACAATTACCTGACTTGATGTTTGCAGAGTATTTATCAATTTAAATGACATGTTAACACGTGACAAGTATTTCTGTGGTACAGCTAACTTGTTATTGGAGGCAAAATGTCCACCCACCTTCAGAGGTCAGTTAATGACAAAGGCATTCAAGGGTTTTCTTTGTGGTAGAGTGGCCGAGTGGTCTAAGGCGCTGGATTAAGGTTCCAGTCTCTAAGGAGGCGTGGGTTCAAATCCCACCTCTGCCATAAACACAACTATAGAGCATAGATTTCAGTGCACGTGGTACAGTCAATCGATTGAAACACACAGCAATATGTTCAGCAGTGCTTCGATGAGTACACCTTTATTCTTGAGATGTTGCATTCTATTTCAACTTTTGGAGATGCTTCAACTGTAGTCAACCTTTAAACCTTCTTTCAGTACTGGCACAGTTTTAAAGGTTGCAGATAGGACCATTTGAGAAAGGAGAATTGCCAAGCAGAGTGGTGCAGCGGAAGCGTGCTGGGCCCATAACCCAGAGGTCGATGGATCGAAACCATCCTCTGCTAACAAACCAAAGGACTTCTAGAGCAATTCCAGTTCTTTAATGAATCTCCTTAAAATTTAATGCAACCCAAACTGCAGAATCCTGCCTCAGATAAAAACACAATTGCAACTGGACCAGTTTAAAAAAGAAGCTAACGATCTTAGAGAAACTAAAGACCCCTTCAGACAGGCTTTGAAAAACGGAAATTTTCAGGACTCTATCTGTAAGACCTTTGTGTCTGAATACAAACATCCGATAATGTTTTCCGTAATTAAACCGGACAACCCCCCTAGTAACAGGTCTGGACTGGTCACGAACAAGGTGGCTGCTTCAGACTGGTGAGGTCGAGTTCTGGACAGGGAGGAGGAGGAGGGGACCGGGGGACACTGTGCACACCTAAGATAGCTTGCTCCTGTAGCATGCGGGGAACCATGGCAGCTCGCCTCCTATGGTACCGTCTAGAATCGTGACGGAGCACTTCACACCGCTTCCGTGATTCCTTTAACCATTGAGCTTCATCATCCAGGTCTCTCATGAGTCTATGTTTGCACAGACTTATGCTTAACATAAGTTCGATCAGTGAGAATAATTCTATCTCTTCGTCTGCCATGTTTGACTGAATGGCTTTGTTTGGGTAAAATGACGCATGTACACCCGCCACACAATGTTTACGCAATATCTGAATACAGCCCCCCCCCTCAAACATCTCGAACCTTACCCTGCTGTGTGAAGGCAGCCGAAAGGACAATTTCCAGTACAAAAGTGGTGTGTCTGAAAACACAGTTCTGGTTAAAAACCGGACTGAATTGTCCACACATATTCCAGAATGGCAATCTGAAAAGGGTTTATGTGAGTCAAGATGCATTACCATTAAATCTCACTACAATTACCTGACTTGATGTTTGCAGAGTATTTATCGATTTAAATGACATGTTAACACGTGACAAGTATTTCTGTGGTACAGCTAACTTGTTATTGGAGGCAAAATGTCCACCCACCTTCAGAGGTCAGTTAATGACAAAGGCATTCAAGGGTTTTCTTTGTGGTAGAGTGGCCGAGTGGTCTAAGGGAGTAGCCCCTGGCTGCATCCCGGAGATCGGGGCGGGGCTAAATGTGGGCGGGGTTAAACGTTTAGAGGTGGGTGGAGACAACTATTTGACTCCTGCCCCTCTCTCAATGGAACCAGGAAACTGCGAGTAGCCCGTTTCTAAGGATTAGAAAGCCCTAAAAACCCACAAAACCCATGTAAAGCATAACATTGGTAATCAAATGACTTTTTTGCTGGATGTCATTATAATTTTAAAGAGCAGATAATTACAGGCGCCATTTTTGATCCAATCTGTTCTGATATTTTTATTCTTTTTTCTACTTTTGTATGGTATGTGTATTTATAGCACATAGCCAGGTATTTGTGTCTTTTAGCTATACTTTTGGTACCTCTATAAAAGGTTCAAGCATTTAATAGACTATTCTTTGAACCTGTCAAAACCATTTTAATAGTTGATTTTATCAATGCTGCCTGTATTTTAATAGTCATTTCCCAAGTGAGAGTAAAACAGTACAGACAGACACGGGTAAATTTGTTGTACACTCAGTTATATCAGCTACATTAAGAGGAACAGAGACTTAAATTGTGCTGATACTTCTTAAAACATGCCAGGGTTTGAGGCGGGGTGGTGAGACATTGTGTGAGACACCCAAGAATGCAGACTAAATTTTTCAAAAAAGGTAAATTTAATAGAGCAAACAACAGCCAACACAGGAATAAAAAAAAGTACAAACAAATGAACCAAAAAGCACACAAAAAACAAGAGAACCTCCAAAAAAACAATGTGAGGAGGAAAAAGAATGCAAAAACTGTGACACCGCTGTACTATGGCATTTCAAAACCAGAAAACACCTTCATCTTCCTTTTTTCCTCAATTTCTCTGCAGAACTCCTCATAGTCTGACTGAAAACTAAACATGAACAGGAACGGTTCCCTGCAATCGTTCATCTCCTCTTCATCCAGGCCATCACAGAAGCATGACCTCTCCACTGCCCTCCGGCAAGCTTCCCTGTCCATGGTGATGACCTGGGGAAGGGAAAGGCTTCCTTTGAAGGACCTTGTGGTACACCACCTTGCTGCCTCAAAGGTGTCCTCAAGCAGAGAATTCTCCTAATCAAAAATAAAGACAATATTAAAATTACTGCTGTCAAGAGATTAAAAACATATTTTACATTAATTATGTATGATCTGAAAGTAATCTAATCTTTCAATTTAATCTAATAACTGTACATAATATAAGCCTTATTTTCAATGCTAACAGCTAGCCAAACAGCTGATGCTGTGGTCTTTCCAAACTGCAGCACGGAGGTGCGTCTGATACAGGAGAGAAGCTGTCAGCAGCCTTGATGCTCAGTGACACACCCATTACATCCAAATGGTAACAATAACTTTGGAAAAAGTTGCAAGAAGGGTGAAAAAAACAGAGTAAAGATAACAAGGTCGCTGAAATAAACACTGCTGCAGCTAATCTCTCACTGGTCTTGTCACTGTAACGTCAACCCTTCAACTTATGAGTTTACATGAACCCTTCAAGAACAGGAAAAGAAATTGGTTTATTTAAAAGTCCCATAAAGAAGCAGTAGATTAAAAATGATAAACATAATAAAAATATACAACACGTTAATCATGGCTGTAAAAAATTAATTGCAAGTAATGGAATTATTTGACACCTCTAATTAAAATGGAGGTTGGAGAAGAAACAATGACACAAGAAAAGTCCAGTTCCAGCAAGTTCTCAGCCTCTGCTAGAAGGGAAAAAGATTGTGGTTCATAAAAAGCATATTAACGATGCAAGTTGTAAAAAAGATCAGTTGCTTAGTATTCTGATTTAATGAAAATAGAGAAATGACTGAAAAACTTGCTTTGAAAAAAAAAGTGCTCTGTCTGGAACGGTCTTAATTTTCTAATCTTGGCAAAGTAAGAATTTCATTGTGCAGAAAGTGTGTTTTTCTAGCTGTGCATATGACAAAAGGTTGAATCTTGAATCTTCCCACATCCCATTTCGACAACCTAGGGGGTTGTGTACAATAATACTTGTTTGAACAATACCTGATGCTGCACAGACTCATTCAGTATGGCAGGACTTCTTAGGAGGGACCACTTCCAGGCCCTGAAATAAATGAAGGAATTATGCTTTAGTCTGCAAGCAACAGTTAAACTACAAGAATTAATCAAATTGTCTCTCACCTGTTTTACTCTTTCCTCTCTCCGTCTTTTCCGTGCCTGCACTCTGTCTTCCTCAGACCTTGGTGATACAATGACAACATTAATTCACTATGAAAACATTCATGTTATTCTGTTGACACTTGAATGAGCAAAACGTTTATATAATTACACACATCAGATTAGCACTCTAACCATAATAATAAAGCCCAATCAGGTGTAGAACTCAGATACGAACATAAAAAGCTTAAAAAACTAACATATTTCCCCCTGTAAAATATATTTCCACCAAAAAGTAATCATGACCACACAACATATCTCCCCAAATCTATAAAAGTGTTCCTACAGGTTTCTTCAACTTAAATTTAAGTCTAAGATCTTTCTAAAGCCATATGGAAAATTAATACCTATTTCACGGCACTATCAGCAAAAAAGTAAATAAATAAAATAAAATTATTGAACTAATTTCATTTATTTATCTATACAACTTTACCAATATATTTTGACAAAACACTGGGTGGGCACTTGGTAGAAGATCGGTTATATTTTTAAACAAATGGTTAAAAATATAACCGATCTGGTTGGACATTAGAACCTTAATAATTTTTGTTGCCTATATTTTAGTTTAATTTTAAGACATTTTTTTTTATTATTGCTAATTTTATTACCCTAATTTCTTGCAGTATTTCTATTGTATAAAAGCAACAGTGCAAACAGTAAAGACACAAAATTGAAATAAATGTCTAAAAATAGTGCTTCTCTTGGAGTCATCACTTGTTTGGAATATTTTGATGAACTTCAGAAGAAAAATGCAGTACAGAAAACTTACATCCAACACAAATTTTAAGACCCAGATGCCAAAATTGAAGGGTTTCTCCAGTCTTTTAAAGGTATTACTTCCAAATTCATAAATTCAATGCTTTTAAGACTCCGTGGGAACCCTGTAAACATTTCTCCTCAAAAGTAAGTCGCCCCGCATGTGTAAAATAGGCTATATGTATCATCTAAAACTCATAATGGGAAAAAAACTTTAATTTCCAAGTTTATAAAACGTTCGCCCAACATTGGTCCTCGATATTGTTAAAACAGAGAAAGAAAAATCCTAGCTTACCTCCATTTTGGCAGCTACTTCCCTCTGTCCCGGCTACAGCATTGCACACACACATAGCATAGCGGTTTCCTGGTTCCATTGAGAGGGGCAGGACGCAGGAGTCAAATAGTTGTCTCCGCCCACCTCTAAACGTTTGACCCCGCCCACATTTAGCCCCGCCCCGATCTCCGGGATGCAGTCAGGGGTAGTTGGTCTAAGGCGCTGGATTAAGGTTCCAGTCTCTAAGGAGGCGTGGGTTCAAATCCCACCTCTGCCATAAACACAACTATGGAAGCATAGATTTCAGTGCACGTGGTACAGTCAATCGATTGAAACACACAGCAATATGTTCAGCAGTGCTTCGATGAGTACGCCTTTGTTCTTGAGATGTTGTATTCTATTTCAACTTTTGGAGACGCTTCAACTGTAGTCAACCTTTAAACCTTCTGTCAGTACTGGCACATTTTTAAAGGTTGCAGATAGGACCATTTGAGAAAACAGAATTGCCAAGCAGAGTGGCGCAGCGGTAGCGTGCTGGGCCCATAACCCAGAGGTCGATGGATCGAAACCATCCTCTGCTAACAAACCACAGGACTTCTAGAGCAATTCCAGTTCTTTAATGAATCTCCTTAAAATTTAATGCAACCCAAACTGCAGAATCCTGCCTCAGATAAAAACACAATTGCAACTGGACCAGTTTAAAAAAGAAGCTAACAATCTTAGAGAAACTAAAGCCCCCTTCAGACAGGCTTTGAAAAACGGAAATTTTCAGGACTCTATCTGTAAGACCTTTGTGTCTGAATACAAACATCCGATAATGTTTTCTGTAATTAAACCAGACAACGCCCCTAGTAACAGGTCTGGACTGGTCACGAACAAGGTGGCTGCTTCAGACTGGTGAGGTCGAGTTCCGGACAGGGAGGAGGAGGAGGGGACCGGGGGACACTGTGCACACCTAAGATAGCTTGCTCCTGTAGCATGCGGCGAACCATGGCAGCTCGCCTCCTATGGTACCGTCTAGACGCGCGACGGAGAACTTCACACCGCTTCCGTGATTCCTTTAACCATTGAGCTTCATCACCCAGGTCTCTCATGAGTCTATGTTTGCACAGACTTATGCGTAACATAAGTTCGATCAGTGAGAATAATTCTATCTCTTCGTCTGCCATGTTTGACTGAATGGCTTTGTTTGGGTAAAATGACGCATGTACACCCGCCACACAATGTTTACGCAATATCTGAATACAGCCCCCCCCCCCTCAAACATCTCGAACCTTTCCCTGCTGTGTGAAGGCAGCCGAAAGGACAATTTCCCGTACAAAAGTGGTGTGTCTGAAAACACAGTTCTGGTTAAAAACCGGACTGAATTGTCCACACATATTCCAGAATGCCAATCTGAAAAGGGTTTATGTGAGTCAAGATGCATTACCATTAAATCTCACTACAATTACCTGACTTGATGTTTGCAGAGTATTTATCAATTTAAATGACATGTTAACACGTGACAAGTATTTCTGTGGTACAGCTAACTTGTTATTGGAGGCAAAATGTCCACCCACCTTCAGAGGTCAGTTAATGACAAAGGCATTCAAGGGTTTTCTTTGTGGTAGAGTGGCCGAGTGGTCTAAGGCGCTGGATTAAGGTTCCAGTCTCTAAGGAGGCGTGGGTTTAAATCCCACCTCTGCCATAAACACAACTATGGAAGCATAGTTTTCAGTGCACGTGGTACAGTCAATCGATTGAAACACACAACAATATGTTCAGCAGTGCTTCGATGAGTACGCCGTTGTTCTTGAGATGTTGTATTCTATTTCAACTTTTGGAGACGCTTCAACTGTAGTCAACCTTTAAACCTTCTGTCAGTACTGGCACATTTTTAAAGGTTGCAGATAGGACCATTTGAGAAAATAGAATTGACAAGCAGAGTGGCGCAGCGGTAGCGTGCTGGGCCCATAACCCAGAGGTCGATGGATCGAAACCATCCTCTGCTAACAAACCAAAGGACTTCTAGAGCAATACCAGTTCTTTAATGAATCTCCTTAAAATTTAATGCAACCCAAACTGCAGAATCCTGCCTCAGATAAAAACACAATTGCAACTGGACCAATTTAAAAAAGAAGCTAACGATCTTAGAGAAACTAAAGACCCCTTCAGACAGGCTTTGAAAAACGGAAATTTTCAGGACTCTATCTGTAAGACCTTTGTGTCTGAATACAAACATCCGATAATGTTTTCCGTAATTAAACCGGACAACCCCCCTAGTAACAGGTCTGGACTGGTCACGAACAAGGTGGCTGCTTCAGACTGGTGAGGTCGAGTTCCGGACAGGGAGGAGGAGGAGGGGACCGGGGGACACTGTGCACACCTAAGATATCTTGCTCCTGTAGCATGCGGGGAACCATGGCAGCTCGCCTCCTATGGTACCGTCTAGAATCGTGACGGAGCACTTCACACCGCTTCCGTGATTCCTTTAACCATTGAGCTTCATCATCCAGGTCTCTCATGAGTCTATGTTTGCGCAGACTAATGCTTAACATAAGTCCGATCAGTGAGAAGAATTCTATCTCTTCGTCTGCCATGTTTGACTGAATGGCTTTGTTTGGGTAAAATGACGCATGTACACCCGCCACACAATGTTTACGCAATATCTGAATACAGCCCCCCCCTCAAACATCTCGAACCTTTCCCTGCTGTATGAAGGCAGCCGAAAGGACAATTTCCAGTACAAAAGTGGTGTGTCTGAAAACACAGTTCTGGTTAAAAACCGGACTGAATTGTCCACACATATTCCAGAATGGCAATCTGAAAAGGGTTTATGTGAGTCAAGATGCATTACCATTAAATCTCACTACAATTACCTGACTTGATGTTTGCAGAGTATTTATCAATTTAAATGACATGTTAACACGTGACAAGTATTTCTGTGGTACAGCTAACTTGTTATTGGAGGCAAAATGTCCACCCACCTTCAGAGGTCAGTTAATGACAAAGGCATTCAAGGGTTTTCTTTGTGGTAGAGTGGCCGAGTGGTCTAAGGCGCTGGATTAAGGTTCCAGTCTCTAAGGAGGCGTGGGTTCAAATCCCACCTCTGCCATAAACACAACTATGGAAGCATAGATTTCAGTGCACGTGGTACAGTCAATCGATTGAAACACACAGCAATATGTTCAGCAGTGCTTCGATGAGTACACCTTTATTCTTGAGATGTTGCATTCTATTTCAACTTTTGGAGATGCTTCAACTGTAGTCAACCTTTAAACCTTCTTTCAGTACTGGCACATTTTTAAAGGTTGCAGATAGGACCATTTGAGAAAGGAGAATTGCCAAGCAGAGTGGTGCAGCGGAAGCGTGCTGGGCCCATAACCCAGAGGTCGATGGATCGAAACCATCCTCTGCTAACAAACCAAAGGACTTCTAGAGCAATTCCAGTTCTTTAATGAATCTCCTTAAAATTTAATGCAACCCAAACTGCAGAATCCTGCCTCAGATAAAAACACAATTGCAACTGGACCAGTTTAAAAAAGAAGCTAACGATCTTAGAGAAACTAAAGACCCCTTCAGACAGGCTTTGAAAAACGGAAATTTTCAGGACTCTATCTGTAAGACCTTTGTGTCTGAATACAAACATCCGATAATGTTTTCCGTAATTAAACCGGACAACCCCCCTAGTAACAGGTCTGGACTGGTCACGAACAAGGTGGCTGCTTCAGACTGGTGAGGTCGAGTTCTGGACAGGGAGGAGGAGGAGGGGACCGGGGGACACTGTGCACACCTAAGATAGCTTGCTCCTGTAGCATGCGGGGAACCATGGCAGCTCGCCTCCTATGGTACCGTCTAGAATCGTGACGGAGCACTTCACACCGCTTCCGTGATTCCTTTAACCATTGAGCTTCATCACCCAGGTCTCTCATGAGTCTATGTTTGCACAGACTTATGCTTAACATAAGTTCGATCAGTGAGAATAATTCTATCTCTTCGTCTGCCATGTTTGACTGAATGGCTTTGTTTGGGTAAAATGACGCATGTACACCCGCCACACAATGTTTACGCAATATCTGAATACAGCCCCCCCCCCTCAAACATCTCGAACCTTACCCTGCTGTGTGAAGGCAGCCGAAAGGACAATTTCCAGTACAAAAGTGGTGTGTCTGAAAACACAGTTCTGGTTAAAAACCGGACTGAATTGTCCACACATATTCCAGAATGGCAATCTGAAAAGGGTTTATGTGAGTCAAGATGCATTACCATTAAATCTCACTACAATTACCTGACTTGATGTTTGCAGAGTATTTATCAATTTAAAGGAGACATAACATGCTTTTAAGTTATTCCTTTTTACATCTAAATCATTCAGTTGGGGGTCTAAATACAGTGGAACTGCAGTTCTTTGGTCTGATTTCCTCATTATTGTTGCTCTACAGACCCTCATCTACCCCTGTTCTGAGGAGAGTCTTGAGAACGAGCCGTTTTTGGGTACTGTCTCTTTAAACTGGAGGAGGAGCTGTAAACTCCGCCCCCCTCCATAGTGCAGACCTGTACTCTCCTCCCCCAGTCGGACTTTGTAGTTCTATAGAGAAATCATTATTTAGCATAGCAGATTTAGCATAGCATATTAGCATTTTTAAAACATGTGGGGAGGGTAGTTCATCAAGCTGTTTCAAGGCTGCTAACTCTCTCATGCATTTGTCTGTAGTCACACACACACACCCGTCACTGCCGACGGAGGGACCAGCTAGCAGGCACGTGCGCGCGCGCGCGCACACACACACACACACAAGGAATGCTGCTTGCTTATTTATTTCTATAAAAAATGTTTTAAAAAATGATACAGCTCATTAAAACACCATTAAAAGAATACATTTTATTAAGATCTCTATCTATATATATACATACATATAATTATAAATAATTTTATAAGTAGTCTTATTTTATATTGGGTGTCTTAATGGCTGAAAATGGATAAAAAGCAGTTACATTTTAATTTAAAGATTTGAGATTCGAGTCAAAAATAAAGAACATTCCTCCAAATGTTCTTTAATGTGATCATTATAATTCTAATGCTTACAACTTTGTTTTTATTGTCTGCAATGCGTAGCCTATATCTTTATTAAATGTGTTTAGCTGAAAAGTGGTAATTCTCTCTAATGTGTACAGAGAGGTGGACATCAGTGCTGCAGTGAAATTCCCAGGATCAGTCTGCTTTGCTAACAAATATAGTTAAATCTTACCTGCATTCTAAATAAATACCGTTAGGTGAAAACATCAGTAGGCATTGAGTTATTGATACAATCCCTAACAGCCAGAATGGAAGAAGAGCATGCTGGGTCATCCTGGATCTGAGCCTGTTCTGTGTATTTACCTACAGGATGCAATAAATGTCTACAAGGCTGAGTTTGGACCATTACATCTAAAAGAAAACATACAATCAGTGATTTTTTTAAATTGTTTACATTAATATACAAATGTTCTAAGTATTAACCTCACAGCAAATAAGTAGAACAATATAATAAACAGGCTTTAGTAGTTAAACAGGCGTTGTGCACACAGGTGCTTTGTGTCTCGGTGCTGGTGTCTAGGTCTCAGAGTTCCTGTCCTCCTGCCGTCTTCTGTTGTCCTCAGGATACGGATTGATGTTTCCTGATGATGAGGGAGGGGCAGTATGTGGGCTTCAAACTGGTCCTGGATAACAGTGGGAGACCTCCGTTGTCTGAATACTGAGACCAGAGAGTTGGTGAGATGCAGATCTTCTCTACCTCATCTAGAAACGGAGTTGGTTCAGGGAAAACTTTTCCAAAGACCAGTTCCATGATGTCATCGCCATATTCTGCAATGATAGACGATAACTTTAATGACATATTTTGTTTACAAGCAGCTTTAGGAAAGTTGTTTCTTTAGCTTTCATGTTTATAGTCACGTTTGTGTTTGTTCACAAGTTCACTTTGCTGCAGTGACTTCATATTCCTACAAATGTAATAAAATAGTGACACTAAAATTATACAAATGATTCCTTATGAAAGGAAGCTCATTAGAGAGCAGTGCAGACATAATTACTACATGCTGCAGCTGTTTTTACAGGCTAGCTGCTGCTGAATTTGGGGAAAGTTATTCTGCACACATCCAGATCAGATGGTCGATTACAGAAAATAATGTAATTCAATAATTTCTAAACAGATTAAACAAGTAAAACATCAAATAAATCACTCTGCTGTCATCAGACGGAGTGATTCAGGGGGTGAGGTGTTCTTAATGATGAGGGTGGCTGAGGTGTGTCATCACTCACTTTGGTCTGGTCCAGACCATCTCTTTACTGGTGGGTCTCCTTCCTCAGTAGGTGACGTGAAATGCCAACATCTGAACGTTCTGTGTTCCTTAGAGGAGAAGAAAAGTAACATTAGCAAGCTGGCTAAATTATTTTTTACTAGCATCTCGGAGAAGCAGATCTTCACTTACCTAAACATCAGACCAGTTTGTCCCAGCTGAGCTCATCAGGGCTTTAGTCTGACAGCCTGTCAGTGAAACACGGCTCCAGTCTTCTGGATGTTGACTCTAAAAAGCAAAGGAGCATTTTTACTTTTGTTTTACAGCCGATTTTATCAGCTTTCCGACGCTCACGCTCATACAGACGGTGAGCTTTGCTGCGTCTGACTGATAAAGTTAGTTTTTATATCTGCAGTGAGACAAAAAACTAACCTCACTCCACTCAGAGATTGTTCTTTAAAACTATTAAATCCACTGTGTTGACGCACTTTAATGACTTTGTCACGCTGCATTTTAGCTGATATGGGACTTTATTTACTGGATGCTAAGATTACATCACACTCATGTAGAATAACACACAGGCTCTCTGCTGTTACAATCAGTGGGAGGTTATCATCTGGTGTAAAAGAAGGCGTTGATCAGAAATCACGTTTTATTCCACGAAAATCAGCCAAATCCACATTGATCTGGGTGCTAACTTTACTAGCATACTGTGCTAGCGATAGCAAGCCGGATGCTAACGCTTTAGTGCTGCTAATGCCCGTAAATCTAAAGTAAAGTTTGTCGACATTTTAGAGTGATATGAAGCTTACCGCTCTGCAGGTGTGTCCCGGTGCTGCCACATTCAGATGCAAATGACTCCTTTTAGATAGATGAAGCCCTCAGTACTTACTAGCCTGGAGACAGGAACGAACGAACCACGCGCGCGCGCGCACACACACACACACACACACACAAACACAAACACACTACTTTTTCTTCTGTGTTTTTTTAGCAGTAGTGTCATCAGCTCCTGGGTTTAAATACTGCCACACCACCCTTCCTTAAAACGAGGAACAGTTTTGAGCTGTGTGTGGCTAAAATAACCAGACATTCTGCATTTTTCCAATAGGACTACAAAAAATCTTAGCGAGAAGAAAAAATGGCGGATTGGCTCTGTGTTTAGCCGAGGGCCATTACCATATTTGGTAGTTATCCTGACTAAATTAATTACTGACGTAATGGATAATGTAAAAACTGAACGGGTGGACAAATATGCCCAAAACTTAATTATTAAATATCTAAATAGCAACTCCAGTGAATAATATAAGCCTTTTTGCTCACTTAGACACTTAAAATGTGAAACACACTGTGTTAATGGATAAAAAAGTGGGTTTTTCATGTTATGTCTCCTTTAAATGACATGTTAACACGTGACAAGTATTTCTGTGGTACAGCTAACTTGTTATTGGAGGCAAAATGTCCACCCACCTTCAGAGGTCAGTTAATGACAAAGGCATTCAAGGGTTTTCTTTGTGGTAGAGTGGCCGAGTGGTCTAAGGGAGTAGCCCCTGGCTGCATCCCGGAGATCGGGGCGGGGCTAAATGTGGGCGGGGTTAAACGTTTAGAGGTGGGTGGAGACAACTATTTGACTCCTGCCCCTCTCTCAATGGAACCAGGAAACTGCGAGTTGCCCGTTTCTAAGGATTAGAAAGCCCTAAAAACCCACAAAACCCATGTAAAGCATAACATTGGTAATCAAATGACTTTTTTGCTGGATGTCATTATAATTTTAAAGAGCAGATAATTACAGGCGCCATTTTTGATCCAATCTGTTCTGATATTTTTATTCTTTTTTCTACTTTTGTATGGTATGTGTATTTATAGCACATAGCCAGGTATTTGTGTCTTTTAGCTATACTTTTGGTACCTCTATAAAAGGTTCAAGCATTTAATAGACTATTCTTTGAACCTGTCAAAACCATTTTAATAGTTGATTTTATCAATGCTGCCTGTATTTTAATAGTCATTTCCCAAGTGAGAGTAAAACAGTACAGACAGACACGGGTAAATTTGTTGTACACTCAGTTATATCAGCTACATTAAGAGGAACAGAGACTTAAATTGTGCTGATACTTCTTAAAACATGCCAGGGTTTGAGGCGGGGTTGTGAGACATTGTGTGAGACACCCAAGAATGCAGACTAAATTTTTCAAAAAAGGTAAATTTAATAGAGCAAACAACAGCCAACACAGGAATAAAAAAAAGTACAAACAAATGAACCAAAAAGCACACAAAAAACAAGAGAACCTCCAAAAAAACAATGTGAGGAGGAAAAAGAATGCAAAAACTGTGACACCGCTGTACTATGGCATTTCAAAACCAGAAAACACCTTCATCTTCCTTTTTTCCTCAATTTCTCTGCAGAACTCCTCATAGTCTGACTGAAAACTAAACATGAACAGGAACGGTTCCCTGCAATCGTTCATCTCCTCTTCATCCAGGCCATCACAGAAGCATGACCTCTCCACTGCCCTCCGGCAAGCTTCCCTGTCCATGGTGATGACCTGGGGAAGGGAAAGGCTTCCTTTGAAGGACCTTGTGGTACACCACCTTGCTGCCTCAAAGGTGTCCTCAAGCAGAGAATTCTCCTAATCAAAAATAAAGACAATATTAAAATTACTGCTGTCAAGAGATTAAAAACATATTTTACATTAATTATGTATGATCTGAAAGTAATCTAATCTTTCAATTTAATCTAATAACTGTACATAATATAAGCCTTATTTTCAATGCTAACAGCTAGCCAAACAGCTGATGCTGTGGTCTTTCCAAACTGCAGCACGGAGGTGCGTCTGATACAGGAGAGAAGCTGTCAGCAGCCTTGATGCTCAGTGACACACCCATTACATCCAAATGGTAACAATAACTTTGGAAAAAGTTGCAAGAAGGGTGAAAAAAACAGAGTAAAGATAACAAGGTCGCTGAAATAAACACTGCTGCAGCTAATCTCTCACTGGTCTTGTCACTGTAACGTCAACCCTTCAACTTATGAGTTTACATGAACCCTTCAAGAACAGGAAAAGAAATTGGTTTATTTAAAAGTCCCATAAAGAAGCAGTAGATTAAAAATGATAAACATAATAAAAATATACAACACGTTAATCATGGCTGTAAAAAATTAATTGCAAGTAATGGAATTATTTGACACCTCTAATTAAAATGGAGGTTGGAGAAGAAACAATGACACAAGAAAAGTCCAGTTCCAGCAAGTTCTCAGCCTCTGCTAGAAGGGAAAAAGATTGTGGTTCATAAAAAGCATATTAACGATGCAAGTTGTAAAAAAGATCAGTTGCTTAGTATTCTGATTTAATGAAAATAGAGAAATGACTGAAAAACTTGCTTTGAAAAAAAAAGTGCTCTGTCTGGAACGGTCTTAATTTTCTAATCTTGGCAAAGTAAGAATTTCATTGTGCAGAAAGTGTGTTTTTCTAGCTGTGCATATGACAAAAGGTTGAATCTTGAATCTTCCCACATCCCATTTCGACAACCTAGGGGGTTGTGTACAATAATACTTGTTTGAACAATACCTGATGCTGCACAGACTCATTCAGTATGGCAGGACTTCTTAGGAGGGACCACTTCCAGGCCCTGAAATAAATGAAGGAATTATGCTTTAGTCTGCAAGCAACAGTTAAACTACAAGAATTAATCAAATTGTCTCTCACCTGTTTTACTCTTTCCTCTCTCCGTCTTTTCCGTGCCTGCACTCTGTCTTCCTCAGACCTTGGTGATACAATGACAACATTCATTCACTATGAAAACATTCATGTTATTCTGTTGACACTTGAATGAGCAAAACGTTTATATAATTACACACATCAGATTAGCACTCTAACCATAATAATAAAGCCCATCAGGTGTAGAACTCAGATACGAACATAAAAAGCTTAAAAAACTAACATATTTCCCCCTGTAAAATATATTTCCACCAAAAAGTAATCATGACCACACAACATATCTCCCCAAATCTATAAAAGTGTTCCTACAGGTTTCTTCAACTTAAATTTAAGTCTAAGATCTTTCTAAAGCCATATGGAAAATTAATACCTATTTCACGGCACTATCAGCAAAAAAGTAAATAAATAAAATAAAATTATTGAACTAATTTCATTTATTTATCTATACAACTTTACCAATATATTTTGACAAAACACTGGGTGGGCACTTGGTAGAAGATCGGTTATATTTTTAAACAAATGGTTAAAAATATAACCGATCTGGTTGGACATTAGAACCTTAATAATTTTTGTTGCCTATATTTTAGTTTAATTTTAAGACATTTTTTTTTTATTATTGCTAATTTTATTACCCTAATTTCTTGCAGTATTTCTATTGTATAAAAGCAACAGTGCAAACAGTAAAGACACAAAATTGAAATAAATGTCTAAAAATAGTGCTTCTCTTGGTGTCATCACTTGTTTGGAATATTTTGATGAACTTCAGAAGAAAAATGCAGTACAGAAAACTTACATCCAACACAAATTTTAAGACCCAGATGCCAAAATTGAAGGGTTTCTCCAGTCTTTTAAAGGTATTACTTCCAAATTCATAAATTCAATGCTTTTAAGACTCCGTGGGAACCCTGTAAACATTTCTCCTCAAAAGTAAGTCGCCCCGCATGTGTAAAATAGGCTATATGTATCATCTAAAACTCATAATGGGAAAAAAACTTTAATTTCCAAGTTTATAAAACGTTCGCCCAACATTGGTCCTCGATATTGTTAAAACAGAGAAAGAAAAATCCTAGCTTACCTCCATTTTGGCAGCTACTTCCCTCTGTCCCGGCTACAGCATTGCACACACACATAGCATAGCGGTTTCCTGGTTCCATTGAGAGGGGCAGGACGCAGGAGTCAAATAGTTGTCTCCGCCCACCTCTAAACGTTTGACCCCGCCCACATTTAGCCCCGCCCCGATCTCCGGGATGCAGTCAGGGGTAGTTGGTCTAAGGCGCTGGATTAAGGTTCCAGTCTCTAAGGAGGCGTGGGTTCAAATCCCACCTCTGCCATAAACACAACTATGGAAGCATAGATTTCAGTGCACGTGGTACAGTCAATCGATTGAAACACACAGCAATATGTTCAGCAGTGCTTCGATGAGTACGCCTTTGTTCTTGAGATGTTGTATTCTATTTCAACTTTTGGAGACGCTTCAACTGTAGTCAACCTTTAAACCTTCTGTCAGTACTGGCACATTTTTAAAGGTTGCAGATAGGACCATTTGAGAAAACAGAATTGCCAAGCAGAGTGGCGCAGCGGTAGCGTGCTGGGCCCATAACCCAGAGGTCGATGGATCGAAACCATCCTCTGCTAACAAACCACAGGACTTCTAGAGCAATTCCAGTTCTTTAATGAATCTCCTTAAAATTTAATGCAACCCAAACTGCAGAATCCTGCCTCAGATAAAAACACAATTGCAACTGGACCAGTTTAAAAAAGAAGCTAACAATCTTAGAGAAACTAAAGCCCCCTTCAGACAGGCTTTGAAAAACGGAAATTTTCAGGACTCTATCTGTAAGACCTTTGTGTCTGAATACAAACATCCGATAATGTTTTCTGTAATTAAACCAGACAACGCCCCTAGTAACAGGTCTGGACTGGTCACGAACAAGGTGGCTGCTTCAGACTGGTGAGGTCGAGTTCCGGACAGGGAGGAGGAGGAGGGGACCGGGGAACACTGTGCACACCTAAGATAGCTTGCTCCTGTAGCATGCGGCGAACCATGGCAGCTCGCCTCCTATGGTACCGTCAAGACGCGCGACGGAGCACTTCACACCGCTTCCGTGATTCCTTTAACCATTGAGCTTCATCACCCAGGTCTCTCATGAGTCTATGTTTGCACAGACTTATGCGTAACATAAGTTCGATCAGTGAGAATAATTCTATCTCTTCGTCTGCCATGTTTGACTGAATGGCTTTGTTTGGGTAAAATGACGCATGTACACCCGCCACACAATGTTTACGCAATATCTGAATACAGCCCCCCCCCCCCCCTCAAACATCTCGAACCTTTCCCTGCTGTGTGAAGGCAGCCGAAAGGACAATTTCCCGTACAAAAGTGGTGTGTCTGAAAACACAGTTCTGGTTAAAAACCGGACTGAATTGTCCACACATATTCCAGAATGCCAATCTGAAAAGGGTTTATGTGAGTCAAGATGCATTACCATTAAATCTCACTACAATTACCTGACTTGATGTTTGCAGAGTATTTATCAATTTAAATGACATGTTAACACGTGACAAGTATTTCTGTGGTACAGCTAACTTGTTATTGGAGGCAAAATGTCCACCCACCTTCAGAGGTCAGTTAATGACAAAGGCATTCAAGGGTTTTCTTTGTGGTAGAGTGGCCGAGTGGTCTAAGGCGCTGGATTAAGGTTCCAGTCTCTAAGGAGGCGTGGGTTTAAATCCCACCTCTGCCATAAACACAACTATGGAAGCATAGTTTTCAGTGCACGTGGTACAGTCAATCGATTGAAACACACAGCAATATGTTCAGCAGTGCTTCGATGAGTACGCCGTTGTTCTTGAGATGTTGTATTCTATTTCAACTTTTGGAGACGCTTCAACTGTAGTCAACCTTTAAACCTTCTGTCAGTACTGGCACATTTTTAAAGGTTGCAGATAGGACCATTTGAGAAAATAGAATTGACAAGCAGAATGGCGCAGCGGTAGGGTGCTGGGCCCATAACCCAGAGGTCGATGGATCGAAACCATCCTCTGCTAACAAACCACAGGACTTCTAGAGCAATTCCAGTTCTTTAATGAATCTCCTTAAAATTTAATGCAACCCAAACTGCAGAATCCTGCCTCAGATAAAAACACAATTGCAACTGGACCAGTTTAAAAAAGAAGCTAACAATCTTACCCCCAAATTCCACTACCTCCGCTCCGCTCCGACACGAACGCCGGAGCAAAATCGGTCCCGTTCTAGTCAATCAGAGCAATTCCACTACTGCGGCCGTGCTCCGGCAGTGCGGCGCCCTCTGTTCCGGCGTCTGGCAAAAATAGAATCGATCCTATTTTTGCCGGACGCCGGAGCACCTCCGCAGTAAATGGACAGAAATCACAACGGCCCAACAGGAAAAGGAGCAAGCACATCTTCCGTTTTTCACAATAAATCGCTAAACAAAAGGCGTTTTTTGTTTCATATGCACAGGTTTAACAACTTTTAACAACTATCAATGGCAGCTGAAGTTTAAATGCACAAAAAATAAGCCATAAATACAGTTGCCACTATCAAAGTAGTCACACTTTGTTGATCCAAACACTGCTGATCTCTCAACACAATGATGGGCAGATTAAACAGCTCATTTCCGATGCTTCTCCCGCACAACGGGTGTTTGGATCTAACTTCCGCGTTTATTGCTCGGACTGTATCGCAAGATCTCGAAAATCCCGCGCATGCTTGTTTGCCCCCCTCAGGTCTCCGCACCGGAGCGGAGCCGTTGTAGAGCGGGTACCAGTAAACATTGAGTTTGGAAGCGAGCGGCTGCGGAAGGCGGGGGCGGACCGGAGCGGAGCGGAGCGGAGGTAGTGGAATTTGGGGGTTAGAGAAACTAAAGCCCCCTTCAGACAGGCTTTGAAAAACGGAAATTTTCAGGACTCAATCTGTAAGACCCTTGTGTCTGAATACAAACATCCGATAATGTTTTCCGTAATTAAACCGGACAACGCCCCTAGTAACAGGTCTGGACTGGTCACGAACAAGGTGGCTGCTTCAGACTGGTGAGGTCGAGTTCCGGACAGGGAGGAGGAGGAGGGGACCGGGGGACACTGTGCACACCTAAGATAGCTTGCTCCTGTAGCATGCGGCGAACCATGGCAGCTCGCCTCCTATGGTACCGTCTAGACGCGCGACGGAGCACTTCACACCGCTTCCGTGATTCCTTTAACCATTGAGCTTCATCACCCAGGTCTCTCATGAGTCTATGTTTGCACAGACTTAAGCGTAACATAAGTTCGATCAGTGAGAATAATTCTATCTCTTCGTCTGCCATGTTTGACTGAATGGCTTTGTTTGGGTAAAATGACGCATGTACACCCGCCACACAATGTTTACGCAATATCTGAATACAGCCCCCCCCCCCTCAAACATCTCGAACCTTTCCCTGCTGTGTGAAGGCAGCCGAAAGGACAATTTCCAGTACAAAAGTGGTGTGTCTGAAAACACAGTTCTGGTTAAAAACCGGACTGAATTGTCCACACATATTCCAGAATGGCAATCTGAAAAGGGTTTATGTGAGTCAAGATGCATTACCATTAAATCTCACTACAATTACCTGACTTGATGTTTGCAGAGTATTTATCAATTTAAATGACATGTTAACACGTGACAAGTATTTCTGTGGTACAGCTAACTTGTTATTGGAGGCAAAATGTCCACCCACCTTCAGAGGTCAGTTAATGACAAAGGCATTCAAGGGTTTTCTTTGTGGTAGAGTGGCCGAGTGGTCTAAGGCGCTGGATTAAGGTTCCAGTCGCTAAGGAGGTGTGGGTTCAAATCCCACCTCTGCCATAAACACAACTATGGAAGCATAGATTTCAGTGCACGTGGTACAGTCAAACGATTGAAACACACAGCAATATGTTCAGCAGTGCTTCGATGAGTGCGGCTTTATTCTTGAGATGTTGCATTCTATTTCAACTTTTGGAGACGCTTCAACTGTAGTCAACCTTTAAACCTTCTGTCAGTACTGGCACATTTTTAAAGGTTGCAGATAGGACCATTTGAGAAAAGAGAATTGCCAAGCAGAGTGGCGCAGCGGAAGCGTGCTGGGCCCATAACCCAGACGTCGATGGATCGAAACCATCCTCTGCTAACAAACCAAAGGACTTCTAGAGCAATTCCAGTTCTTTAATGAATCTCCTTAAAATTTAATGCAACCCAAACTGCAGAATCCTGCCTCAGATAAAAACACAATTGCAACTGGACCAGTTTAAAAAAGAAGCTAACAATCTTAGAGAAACTAAAGCCCCCTTCAGACAGGCTTTGAAAAACGGAAATTTTCAGGACTCTATCTGTAAGACCTTTGTGTCTGAATACAAACATCCGATAATGTTTTCCGTAATTAAACCGGACAACACCCCTAGTAAAAGGTCTGGACTGGTCACGAACAAGGTGGCTGCTTCAGACTGGTGAGGTTGAGTTCCGGACAGGGAGGAGGAGGAGGGGGCCGGGGGACACTGTGCACACCTAAGATAGCTTGCTCCTGTAGCATGCGGCGAACCATGGCAGCTCGCCTCCTATGGTACCGCCTAGACGCGCGACGGAGCACTTCACACCGCTTCCGTGATTCCTTTAACCATTGAGCTTTATCACCCAGGTCTCTCATGAGTCTATGTTTGCACAGACTTATGCTTAACATAAGTTCGATCAGTGAGAAGAATTCTATCTCTTCGTCTGCCATGTTTGACTGAATGGCTTTGTTTGGGTAAAATGACGCATGTACACCCGCCACACAATGTTTACGCAATATCTGAATACAGCCCCCCCCTCAAACATCTCGAACCTTTCCCTGCTGTGTGAAGGCAGCCGAAAGGACAATTTCCAGTACAAAAGTGGTGTGTCTGAAAACACAGTTCTGGTTAAAAACCGGACTGAATTGTCCACACATATTCCAGAATGCCAATCTGAAAAGGGTTTATGTGAGTCAAGATGCATTACCATTAAATCTCACTACAATTACCTGACTTGATGTTTGCAGAGTATTTATCAATTTAAATGACATGTTAACAAGTGACAAGTATTTCTGTGGTACAGCTAACTTGTTATTGGAGGCAAAATGTCCACCCACCTTCAGAGGTCAGTTAATGACAAAGGCATTCAAGGGTTTTCTTTGTGGTAGAGTGGCCGAGTGGTCTGAGGCGCTGGATTAAGGTTCCAGTCTCTAAGGAGGCGTGGGTTCAAATCCCACCTCTGCCATAAACACAACTATGGA